ATAAATCCTGAAGATATAAAATCTGCTTTCTAACTTACATTAACTGAAAATTGGGAAAATCAGTGGAAACAGCCATTTCCAACAAATCAAGAAACATAAAAGAGACCTTGGGAAATATACTTCCAAACTTCCAGGCGTGATGAGGACGTTCTATGTCGATTACGTTTAGGGCACGCAAAAAAGGGGCCAACAAGGACTATATGGCCCAGAATCCTACTGTGGCTTAGCACCAGGGGAGCACATCTTAAAATGGATCCTTAATTAGTCCACCTCATTGTATCACCACAAAACCTGGTGGGACATACCGTAGGTGTGAGGCACGCGAAGAGATTCATAGAAGGACCATCCGAAAAACTTACAAAAAATGACTGGAAGGCAACCGCAACCGAACCAGGATTGTGGTTGGACTCTGCACTGCCATTTAAGAAAGCACATGCACCGGATAGGAATACAGACAGAAGAAACACAGTGCAGATACTACCAGGAAGAGCAGGAGACCGCAGGACACATTTTATGTTTCTGTGAAGGTAGGTGCAGGTTCTTGCAACTAGGACAAGAAAAACTACACGCAAGATCCTACACTGAAGAGCCGCTGGCAAAGTTGAGGAGGTTGGTTAATAACCTAATGCTGGCCAGCGAGATATAAATAACAGGGGAGCACATAGGTCTATTCAAGTCGAGGTGCAGTAGGACTTGTGGCCACATCTTTTATCCCTATCCCTATAGGGCACGCTAATATGACCCACAAGCACTTCATGGAAAAATCTATACTACCAACATGCCAAAAAATACTCGCACCCCCTCCTTTTTGCTCATTACCCCAAAATCATCTGGACTGTAAAGGAAATACTTGTAATGCGATCAACATCGTATAAAGGAAATGTTAAAGAATGTAAGGAAAAAATTTGAACACATCTTCGAAAGTCTAAAAATGAGAAATCTCTATAACCTTACATAAATTTCCATAATTTCCAATAATCCACGATGATAACCTTTGATGTTTTTCGCCTATAAAAAAATCATCCTCCTCCAAGCACGATTCACCGATTTCGCACTTGATAAGCATCCATTAAATAAAGCTGCTCAACTTGACAATCTTTAAAATTTAAATACATTTTGTTTTGAAAAGATCCACCCCGACCGTGGCAGTTTGCGCATTAGATTTTGATTGTTGAATAAAAGAGGGGAAGGTAGCCGGCTGGAAGGGGGTGTAATGGCTGTTCAGCAGTTTTTTAAAGGGATGATTTTTTTTTTTAATAAAACCCTATATCAGAGGTCCGAAATATGTAAATGCACACTTTTTGTCAAAGGAAGGAAGTAAATTTAACAAGATCTGGCCTACCTTGAGGGCTCCGTCCGAACCCGGCGATCTCGGGCCAGCACTCGAGTTAACCTTTCTCGCACATTTTCTTCGGAGAGCGATTCGCGGAATTAAAAAGATACAAATAACGAATTCGAAATCGGAATTCGATTTTGTAATTAAAGAATGGAAGCTGTTTCGAAACAAAACACATTTTGGAAGCAAATCGGAAAAAAATACGGAATAACGTTTCACACCCGGAAGCAAAAATGGTACTAAAAAGTAAAAACCGTTAAAAATAAAAACGGAGTGGGGGCGGCTGAGGAGGGAGCAAATAAGATTTTAAGGGCGCAAAACGTCACCAAAAAGCATCGCGCGTTGACGGCGCGAACACAACCCGTCGTTAAAAATATTGGTGAGCATTTCATGCTTAATTATATTGATTTCTAGTTCATAAATAATAAAACTATGAAAATATCTACGTAAATAAAATGAATCAACAGCCGTTTTACAAGGTTGGTCAGATTAAGTCATGATGATTAAATTTGATGTAAAACGAGGTTAGATACAAGATAACCTTCAGTGAGCTTGTACAACATAAAAATTTGCCTTTTGATGTTTTTAAGAAAAAAAAAATTATTAATCAACTTAAACTATTACAATTTTGTTGCGACTTATCGCTGTTGTTGTATTGAGCTGTTGTATTAAGTTATAAAATGTAAACAGAGATAATCCCGGGAGTTCCCCACTCCTTTGGGATTCTTTTGTAGAGTCAGTCTTAATAAATGCAGGTTCGAGACAAGTGTGTGTATGAATTGGCCTCATAATAAAACACTTAATAGATTTTTTTTATTCTCTGGCCAAAATATATTCATTAGAAAAACTACCTCATAGCAATGAAGACTTTGTTCATGTCCGGTCTTAGTGTTAACCATAACGTATGTTTATATATTCTAAGGATTTTCTATATAAAAAAATTCAACAATAAAATATTCCCACTGGTGTTAAACATTTGAGCCTGAGGTTAAATTTATTTTTTAATTTTATATATTTTTTTCAAATTTTCCTGATCGTAGAAGCGTTGCATCACGGACCAAAGGGGTCTTCATATATTATAAATTTTAACTTTATAAATTTTTCAAGGACCCTATCATTTATAAAACCCCAAGGGTTGTTAACGCCCCTAATTTTTATATTTTAAAAAGTATGATATTTCATGATATTGTTAGCCATTACGTGATGCTGTATTCTAACGATTTTCTACATTAAAAAATTCAACATAAAAAAATTACCCGGCCAGTGGGGTTAAACAATTGAGCCTAAGGTTGAAAACAAAATTTGAATTTTATCTAATTTGTCATCAAATTTTCCTGTTCGTAAAAGCGTTGTAACGCGGACCAAAATGGGTCTAGATATATTTTAAATTGTAAAGTTACAAATTTTACAACAATCCTCCCATTTATGAAACCCTAAGGGTTGTTAATGATCTAATTTTTTATTGTTAAATGTTTAAATAATATTTTAAATTTTTTATTTGCTTTTTATAATGCCGGTCTTATTGTAAGCCGTTACGGGATGATGTTTTTATGATGCTGTATGCTGATCATTTTTTACATTAAAAAATGATATGGCCACTGGGGTTAAACATTTGATCTTAAGGTTAAAAAATATTTGAATTTTATATAATTTTTTTTTCAAATTTTCCTGTTCGTAGACGCGTTGTAATTAAGACAAAAAATGTCTAGATATATTATAAACTTAACTTTACAAATTTTACAAAGATCCCCCATTTATGAAACTCTAAGGGTTGTTAACGCCCCAATTTTTTATTGTTAAATGTGTAAATAATATTTTAAATTTTTTATTTACTTTTTATAAGGCCGGTTTTATTGTTAGCCGTTAAGTGATGCTCTATGTTCATTATATTCTGATGATATTCTACATAAAAATATTCAACATTAGAAATTTATATCCACTTGGGTTAAACATTTGAGCCTGAGTTTAAAAAAAATTATTTAATTTTATATAATTTTCTTTCAAATTTTCCTGTTTGTAGAAGCGTTGTAACGCGGACCAAAGCGGTCTTGATATATTATAAATTTTAATTTAACAAATGTTCCATCGATCCTATCATTTATGGAACCCAATGTGTTGTTAAAGCCATATTTTTTATATTTTAAATTGTTTACTTAATTTTTGTAAGGCCGCTCTTATTGTTAGCCATTAAGTGATGCTGTATTTTTATGTATTCTGATGATTTTCTTCATAAAAAATTCAACATTCAAAAATTATATGGACACTTGGGTTAAACATTTGAGCCTGAGCTTTAAAAAAAATTATTTGAATTTTATATAATTTTCTTTCAAATTTTCCTGTTCGTAGAAGCGTTGTAACGCGGACCAAAGGGATGATAAATTTTAACTTAACAAATTTTCCATCGATCCACTCATTTATGAAATCCTAAGGGTTGTAAATGCCCTAATTTTTATATTTTATAATGCATAATATTTTAAATTGTTTCTTTATTTTTTATCGTGATGTAAGATCCTAATCAAAAGATAGAAAAAAATCCATGCAAAATTATAATTTCTTCAACAACGGTCAAAAAAAATTACCAAAAAAATATATAAACAAATAAATAAATGTCCTGTACCAGTCAAATTGGCCGCCGAAGTAGATGAGAATAAAAAAAAGTCCCAGGCTTCGTAGAAAAATAATCCAAATGTTTACGATGCACACACACGTGAGCACGAAAACCACTGACACAGACACTTGTTGCCCCTCGGACGTCACGTGTACGACTGGCACGACGGCCCGGCGGGCCCCGATTCCCCACCAGCCGATGGATCGACGCCGGCAAATCCCTCTAGTACATACTTTCACTTTCATTTCCGTCCAAATAAAATCACCAAGTTGGAAAGAGGTCTGGACGCGTTTTACACGTAATGGATGTAATGTTTTTACCTCTAAAACTGCACTTAAGCTACCAAATATACAATGCATAGAAAACATATTGAACAACCAAATCTCTTAATAATTACACTGAATATAGGGTCACTTATTGGGCGTCTTGTAGTGTAGATTCTTGCAACCAGTAGATTGATTAACGACCTGAAGCTGGTCAGTGAGTTAAAAAAAAGCAGAATAGATCTACTCAGGCCGAGGTGCACAAGGCCTAGTGGCTGACTCTTATCCTTATCCCTATCAATCTTGCTTAACTTGGAACAGTCTTTCCGAAAGTTAGAAGTCAAAAGTTCAACATATTGTTTTTGGAATATTTTTTAAGGTTATGTACTAAACTGTCATGCCAAAGTTTTGGCTCGAGATACGTCCAGAAATAAAGGTGATCATACATTTTTGCCTTGCAGAGCTCTCTCTATATCAATACTTCTATATATCTGTCCTACGGCTGAGTGCTTGGCTCTGAATCCAAACTGGTGGCTTGGTATAATGATCGCTTTTTCAATCAAGGGTTACAACATTTTTAGCAAAACTTTTTTATATAATTTTGAGATAACTGGAAGCGAGGTTGGGCAGTAGGACGATATTCCGTGTGATGGTTTTACTCTCATTATGATGACAACTTTCCAGACATTAGGGACATACCTTCTTATTGCTGCATTAAATAAATCCGTAAATTCTAAAATTTTTGGGAAGTTATTTCAAAATTTGTTAGTTACTGTTATCAAAGATTTTTCAGTTTAAAAAAATATGTATTTATTTAAATAAATATTATTTTTACAATTAGGAAATATGAGTTTGTAAGCATTTGTGTGATGTTGATGATGTAATTGATATAAGAAAAGCGTATATTAACCTGTGAATAACAGCTCACAATGATTTTACAATTCACAGCATAGAGGATAAAGAAAATAGTGGCATTCGTTTAAAAAGATTTGTAGAATTGCAACATAGCTGACAGATTATCCATATAAATTTTAATAAAAATATAATCTGAAGAATATACCATCTATATAACATAAATTTGTTATGTCCTTAAAGTTTTTAGTACGGGGCGTATGTGCCACTTTCACACCTGTAATAATCAGAATGGTGCACTTTTAGATATTTTTCTTCTTCCTTTTGGTCGCCTCTTTGACAAGAGTTTTACACAGATCGGGGCTGAGATTGTCAAAACCTTCAGACGAGATCACCTCATCGACATGCCCGCTTGCAAATTCATGACAAATATCGATCAGCTCCTGTAAACAAGTAAAAACGAGTAGTTTGATTTCTAAATAAAATAAGTCAAAGAAGAACATGTGCTTACCTCGCAGACCCCCTTGCATGCAAGCGCATAAAGACTGGCTGTATTCTCAGGCTGCAGCCTCTTACGGAACATGGTTACAGTCATCGCTCTTAGTTCTGATTCAAAGTACGATTGAGCAATGCTATATAAATCTAAAAATCAAAGCAATTGTTTTTTTTTTTCTTTTTCCTTCTATGTTTATCTTCATTGTTGTGCAGGCATGATGAATATGTGTTTTGATCAAAAATAACCAGGATATAAATTACAATTTAATTTCCAAAGCCTTGGTCAATAACCATGAAATGGATTTCCAACTCAGAAATATTAGGGGTCAAGGAATTACTTTATTTATTTTATAATTGATATCAGTCTTTAATGTTACAATTTTGCATTAAAAAAAAAAAAAAAAAATCAGTGGTAAGGTCGTTTTCTCCTCACTTCAACCGCTTCATTTTCAAGTAATTGTGCTCTCTGAGAGAAAAATTATTGGCCTCATTGAATTATCCTTGCCTCTTTGAGTCTGATGATGTGACAACCTGGTTGGAGGTCACAGACAAAACATTTTTTTGGTGATTTTATATTCCAAAATAGTTGCAATTTTTCATTTATTAATATTTTTATTTCAACGTGCTAATTACTCAAATCAACTATATGAATATGTAGAATACTATAAAAAATATAGTAAATATAATAAAAACTTTATCAATAAGCAAAAAATTACTAAAAACCAAATATTTTTCAAGTAAACTAGATAATATATCATATATATACATTTAACATTTTTTTCCGTCATCAAACCCATATGAAATTTCATTTTACCACCTCTAGAGACTCTTAAATATAATTTTTTGTTTGAATATAATTTACCGATTTTTTTGACTCCTAAAATTTTTCAGATTTTTGAAAAGTCATTATCGGAATATCTGATTGAATTAATGATAAAAATGATTTTTAAAAAATAATGTCAAATAGACCTTTTGAAAGAATAGGAACATTCATTTTACATTAATGTTTATCAGCAAAAGTTGTTTATTAATTTTAAAAAAAAAATTTAAATAGTTTATCACCTATTAATTCAGGACCTTGAAGTGGTTCAAGCGTGCCACTGTAAACAAATTTCAAAAATGCCCGATAAGCACGTGCATTATATGACTGCATATCCATTTCATTTCTACAAATAAAAGATTAAAATACACTTTCTTAAAAAATATTTGAAAAAATTTTAAAAATTCAAATATAAGTAAAACAGTCTAACTTTGTTTCTGTACCCCAGGATCCAAGTAACATAGATTTGAAGTGTTCACAAAAAGTAGTTAAAATGAGTTTGTGTACATAGACAAGCCCATCAGACAGCTTAATCACTAAATCGCTGAACTCCTGAATCAAAATTCCTTCATCAGAGAAATATTTTATGAACAATTCAGACAAGTTGTCACCTTTTTATCAAAAAGCATTTTCTCGATGTCCCTAGTGGAGCCTTGGATCGGTTCAACCACCTCCAGTGCCATATCTGACGGGTTCGCCTTGAGAAACAGCGGAGTGGCTCGTTTTGCAAAAGCATTCTGCATGGTGTGTATGTCGATGGGTTTTAGTGTTTTTTTATCGAAGAATGACTCTTCATCGTGGATGAAGTAACGGTCATCACTCCTCGCACATAATAAACAACCCATGTTTGTGATGGCAAACTCATCAATAGGTGGGCTTTAAACATTAAAACTTGAAAAAAAAATCCTTTATTAGTAAACATTATTTAAAATATTACGAGTTTAATTCGTTGTTGAACTCTTGATCTTTAAAAACACCGTATGATTCTAGCTTATTTTTTCTATTGAGGATGAAAGTAGATGTCAGCCCACAACCGATCGCGAGCGCAGGCCCGCTATTTGGAGGCCGTTCTACAAGTGCAGGTATCACATCAATAGAATCTGCCTTCCGGCCCAACTGACCTAAAGAATTTATACCCCAAGTGTACACCTAAAAAAAAAAAATAAATAAATGAATACATTGAGTTGACCTACAAGTTATAAACACTTGCCTGACCGGAGGTGGTCAAAACTGCTGCATGGAAACAACCACATGCAATTTCACAAATAATAGACTCAAATGGAAAAGAGATTTCACATGGAATGTTTTGTCCCTGGCAACTCGAAAATTGAACATCTCCCCAGTGTAGAACCTAAAAATTTAGCAAACTCAATGAAAGTTCTTTCTACCATCATGGTGCTTTATAATTTTAATTTTTAACATACAATTAATTAAGGTTTTAAGTTGAAATAAAAAACTACTCTACTAGCTACTCTACCACTTGAGCTATCGTGACTTCGATCCCCTCGGGCACTAACTTCCCATCTCAACCGACCTTTTGAATTTTCCCTCCATGGCCATTTCATTTGTCGTCGAGAATCCAATCCGATTACACAACATTTGAAAAAGGAGGGAAAATTACTAAATACATAATAAAAAATAGCTCTCATTTTCACAATTTAGCACTCAAACATTCCAGGAAGAGTTATTTCTATCCTTAGATAAGATAACAGAAACAGACTAGTCTCAATGAATAAATTAATATTTAACTTTTCTACAATCGTTGAGATAACTGGTCCGCATAATTTCAGTTTTATTGTATTTTAATGCTTTGAATCATTTTTAAAATATAAATTTTAAATATTATATTATTTCTTAACACCCCCAAAATTTTTGGTTGCACTAGTCTATATAACAAATACCTACCCTATTAATATTTTACTGTGTTCATTTTTGTCATTTTTCAGCCCTTTTATAATTTTAATATAAACAGATTTAAATTAGTTAATAATATATTATCAACACTGATGGATGTGGTACGAACTCTGTTGTCGTAAGAGAGAGCAAGACAATATCTGTCCCCACAGCAAACAGACTTGACAAGCACTCTGTGCGGAAGGAAGACCCGGACGGGTGTCGAACTATCGAGGATTGTCCCGTTTCCCAACCTGCCAAGAGTGTTGTTGCCCCAGGAATAGAGTTCGCCTACCTCGGTCAAAGCAAGGGTGTGTGCTGATCCAGATGCAAAACCTTCATTGAAAGAAATGTTAAAAAAGTCCACTCTGCGAGAAAATAACAACGCAATTACATTTTACTTGTCGGCCCTTCAGAAAAGGGATTTCAACAGGGGTGGAGGCAAACTCGATATCACCTATACCAAGCCTCCCGAGATCATTTGCGCCGACAGCATAAACAGAATCATAATCAGTGATGAAAAGTGCGCTTCTTCCATCTTCACCTGTTAAAAAAAAAGTTTATAGAATAAATTATGATGTTTATAATCACTAAATAGACAAATAATTCACCACTAATTTGAATTTTTGAATGAAATTGGTGTATATTTGTTAAAGGTGTTACACAAATCAAAAATTTGACAAGACAACACCGGCCTAAGCCTGGTCAGCGAGGAGAAAGAGGGGAAAAACAGAGGACACACCAACTTGAGCTTCTGAACAAAATGGATGATTGGAGAAGAGAAAAGCAGAACATTAGCTGCTTGTTTGCATCTTCTCAATTTGGACATGTTGCTTCAATATTACTACACAGGTTTATTTTTTATGTTATGATTTAAATTTAACTTTTTATATAAAAAAGCACATATTTTTATTTCACAACAGAGAAAAGTTATTGTTTAATTAAACTGATATTTTTTTACAAGCGCCTTTATTTAAAAAATCGGTGAAACAAAATGGGGCCCGAACAAAATTAAAACAAATTACATAAAAAGAAAAGATCATATTTCTCAATTTTTCAATATAAAACATAAAAAACTCTAAAAAATAGATAAAATGTGTAAATAAAAATATATATAAAACAATACAATATATAAAAATTGCAAATATCAATATAAAATGTAGTATATGAAAAAATTTAAGTGCATAAACATTTAAAATTATTACATTTCTAAATAACTTTGAATAATACAAATAGCAACAGGAATTGATTTACTTGTCTTCCAAAATAATAATAATAAATAAAATAATTTTTTTAATGTTGCAATAATAACAATCAAAACATATACATAAGTCAATAAAATAAAGAATAACAAAAATTTTGAAATAGAAATTTTAATATTATAAAAAAAATGAATAGCCCAAACAAAAGTTAGTGGAAATTTTAGAACAAAACACACAATTTGAAACACCCAATGCCATCCCCATTCAACTTTAAATGTACAATTCATGAATCCGTTATTCAAATAATGGGCAGAAATAAAATGATAGAAATGTAGACTAATGCATTGCAAAGCTTTAAAAAAAAAAAAAAAATTGTTTAGAAATTATGAAACAACAGGTCGCTAAGAAAGACACACATTCATTTATCATTATTCATTTCAAGTAAATCACAACAAAACAAAAAAAGCCAAATTAATTCCAAAATTTTCAGGCCCTTACGAAATACAGACATGTTTGAAAATGCCTTATATAATAAAATTACTAATGAATTCTAAAATTACACAAAATAAAATAATTGTAGCCTATATTTTACAACTAAAATATTGTGAATGTACTGTGCGAATTGAAGCCTGGCCATTTTCCATTTTCTGATCTGTGGTAAGAAGAGGTCCATGAGCAGGGTGACAGACCTACATTTCACTGACCCTTCATCTTATGTTTTGGATTGAGGAAATTGAAACAATTCGGACTTGTCTTATCAGACTTCTTATTTAACTTCCCATAATGCTGCAGTTTCATAGAGCCTGATGATGGATGAATTTATCATCTCTCTCATCTGTACATCTACGTATACCCTGGCTTTCTAGTGAGAAGCCCTGTTTTTCTGAAGTGCTGAAGAACCCTACCTATTGTAGAGTGATTACTATAATACTCATACAGGGATAATGCAAGTTATGCTTAAAGAGATATTTTGCAAACATTAAAACAAATATTGTCATGCTCACTCAAATGCATGACTGGAGGCATTGAAAAATGTTTAAGAACAAGAATAATATCAAATGAAATCAACAAAGGAAAAATATTTAATTGAAAACTATTTTTATGTATAGCTTTGACTTTTTGAGCAAATGGGATTAATCAGTACAAAAGTAAACAAAGTATTAGATTATGTAGGAGCAGGCCTCTTTACGACCTGAGCACTGCGACCATTATTGGTCTATTGCATCTCCATTATTTTTTATCTAGAGCTCCTCATTAAGGCTTTTTATCAGACCCCAAAGCGTTTTCAAGGGCTCCTGTTTGTATCCTGTTTTCCTCTTCTATGAATAGGTATCTCATCCAATATAGGCCTTCGCACCAACAGAGAACATGTTCTGCTGTTTCTTCTTCTTCTTGGCAATATATGCACAGGCTTGTTTCTGCCACTTCGAGTCTATGCATATGCCTCCAGAGTCTGTAGTTTCCAGACAGAAATCCGACTATTATTCTAGTTCTAGCAATTTCTAGATTTAGTAGTTCTACGATGGTCCTTTGATAAACATTTTTGCATGCACCTGTCCCAGGCTACATTCCCATTGAATAGGGACTTATTTTTAATCCTTTGTCTAATGGATCTGCATTTTTTGCAGTTTGATAAGCCACAAAAGGGATCAGGGCCAACAGGTGTCCTCATCGAACTTTCCTTGACCAATTTCTCAGCCTCTTCTTCATTGCCCCTCTGCCCTGTGTCCTGGTACCCAGACAAGGGTAATTTTGTCATTTGACCAAATTCTGACAAGGCTTAAGTAAACAAAAGAAGTAAACAAAGCATTACATATAACTAATGTAGAACAATAATGGATTTAATTTTAAACTTGATAAATTAAGTGGTGCGTTAAATTTGTCCATCAGGGTGTTTTAATATGTTTTTGTTTGTATGTTGCTTGCTTGTATGTAAGAACAAAATAACATAAAATGAGACTTGAAGTTGGCAAAGCACTTCATCCCCTCCACCAGAAAAATTAGATATTTTATTTTTATCTCCCAAGCCCAGCACAACCTCATCCAAGTTTTTGAAGGTTCAATTTTAGAAATAATAGTTGAATTTTACTAGGAAAAACGGTTAAAGTTATTAAACAAATTTTCTTTCTGTCCATGGTATTTGTGGCAATTTTTTTCTATTGCCAATGTTGGCACACCTAACTTATTTGTTTTTTAATTAGCTTGGGAGCTTAATTTTAATTGTTAAAAGTTTAAACTTTTATCTCGTTACTGAACAAAAAGATTTGTCAAATAATATGAGGATTTATATTGTACTAATCAGTGAGGGTGAATGGTTTAATATTTCACCGACAGTAAATAATAATAATGAATTTGGCTTATGTCTTCAAAGTATGTATAGACGGTATGTTCAAACTTACCGAAAATATGTGCAAGGACGATTTTTCGCCGATCCGCTTCGTGGACTTCATTGAAGACCGGCCAGAGGTCGAAATTAATCGGTGAGTACACCTTTGGCATTCTCCGGGGGGGAAAATATTCAATTATCGCCCTTCGGAAAGACAGTTGATACTCAAGCGATAATCGTGAAAAGACTGGCACTCAGAGGTAAATACGACCAGCTTGAGCCGGATGCGAGATGTCAGACAGGAAAAAAGTGTTTTATCGACGGCAAACCAGGATGTCATCGACATTTATAATTGACGAAATAAATCAGAAAAGATTGTAATGATATATATCCTGTTTTAACATGACGCCATGGACATTTCTACGCGGATCTGTGATAACGTTATCACGTTTGATCATCGACGAAGGCGGGATAACCTTCTCACCGTACGAGGTTCTTATCACTTTCTAATTATAAAAATAAGCAAAATAAAGATAAATTTACTCGATTTAGACTTAAATCGAGACAAATCCCACCATAAAATCAGTTTTTAACTACTTACCAACGTATTTTTAAATTCACCTTGACTTTAAAATCGTGAGTCAATTGAAATGTAGAATATATATTAAAAATATTGTTTTATATTCATGAAAAAGCTGACAAAACCAAGTTATATACATATAATTTCCTGATTGTTAAAAGTTATATATCAACTATAGACAAACTACATTCAAAGAAAAACACCGGACACATATTTATTTGTTTATTTTACATAATAACTACATACAAAGATTAATAATTGACTTAATACATGCACACAATGTTAATAACTTATTTGTTACATTTATAGAGCGTTACTAATTGTTTTAATCTCTTTAGATTGAAAGTAATTGTTGCCGAATTTAATTAAGTAAATCATTTACACTTTTTTCCCGTAGCCTAATTGTCAAGTGATTCCATCACGGACTTCGGGAGTTTAGGGCATTGGAAGTCTCGATTGAAGAGAAGATAGTAGTAGGCTGCAATGTATAACTACTAGAGATGATTGTTTTATTGCACTTGTTACACTACGGAAATATAATGCAACGGTGATCTCCAAAACAGTCAAAAAAGGCTTTGTGTGAGAGCCTAGTCTCTAGACATTCCGTATCAAGTCCCCTTCTACTGGAGGCATTGAGTAGAAATGCAACATCGCAAATCAGCATCTTGCTAGAATACTGTACAATGGGGGGGGGGTTTCTCAGATGCTGGTTTGGTTTGTGGCAATCAGATTACTTGTACCAAGCTGATTATCAACAGGAAGCATCTTGACTCAACTAAGGTGTATTTGGGAAGTTCTTCTGGAATTGGTAGTACTATTAGGCAGTCAATTCCAAACGGTCTGTAATGTACCGCTTTGCTCTAAAACAGCCATCAGATGTCTTTGTGAATAACCTAGCCTCTAGACATTCTGCATGAGGTCCCCTAATACAGGAGGCATCAAGTAGAAAGACAAATCAGCATCTCGCTTGGACACATGCACAAAAGGGGGTGTTCAAATCACTGATGCTGGTTTGGTTTGTGACAATCAAATGACCGAAACCATGTATGAAGATATAGAGTACCCTTTGCTTCATATGCCTTGCAATAGTCATAACAATTAATTAAGGTTTTTAATTGAGATGAAAAAAAGTTAATGGCACGAGCGGGATTCGAACCCACGATCTTCGGCTAGATACGCCGCTGCTCTACCACTTGAACTATCGTGACCTCGATCCACTTGGACATCAACTTCCTATCTCAACCCCACCTTATGAGTTTTCCCTCCTTTTTGCCATTTTTCATCATTCATTTTGTTCGAATCCCGCTCGTGCCATTAACTTTTTTTCATCTCAACTAAAAACCTTAATTAATTGTAATGTATTAATTGGTCAAGCAGACCACAAAATTAGTGAATTTAATTGTCATAACCTTCTCAATCTCAGTCAGTATGGGGTGGAATCAACGTCCATGCCTGTACCTAGCTGATTATCAACAGAATGGATCTTGGACTCCGCTAAGGTGTGGTTAGGGAGTTCTTCTGGAATTGGAAGTCCTGTTAGGTAGAGTCAATTGTAATGTAATGGTGAGTTAGGTATGGTGTAAGGTTAGGGGTGAGTGAAAAAGCTTATCAGAATAACCTAGTATCTAGATGTACCCTATCAGGTTCTCTACAAATGCAAAGTCATCAGTTAGAAAGGCGACATCGCAAATCAGCTTCTTGCTTGAACAGTTTGCAACAAGAGCTGTTCTCTTCACTGATACCGGTTTGATTTCTGACAATCAGATTACCTGTACCAAGCTGATTATCAATAGAATGGATCTTTGACTCCATTAAGGTGTATTTAGAAAGTTTTTGAATTTGTAGTCCTATTAAGTAGTAATTCCAAATGGTCTGTAAGTAACAGTGCGCTCTAAAACAGCCATCGCAAGGCTCGTTAGAATAACCTAGTTTCTAGACGTACCCTATCAGGCCTTTTTTTGAAAAGGATTGAATACCGAACTCACTCCATCATTCACCATTTCTACCCTATCAGGTTCTCTTCTAATGGAGAGGCATCGAGTAGAAAGGCGACATCGCAAATCAACTTCTCGCTTGGACAGTTGCACAATGGGCCCTGTTCTTTTCACTGATGCCAGTTTGGTTTTTGACAATCAGATGTCCAGAACCGTATGTGAAGATATAGAGAATGCTTTGCTTCATGTGCCTTGCATTAGTATAGCCTTTTCAAACATAGTCAACAGGGGGTGGAATCAATGTCCAAGCCTATGCTGAGCTTATTATCAACAGAATGAATCTTGGACTCCAATGAGGTGTATTTAAGAAGTTATTTTGGAATTTGTTGCCCTGTTATGTAGACAATTTCAAATAGTCTGTAATTAACAGTGAGCTCAAAACAGCCAATGAAAGGCTCATCAGAATATTGGCTTCATGAGAATAATCTCTAGATGTCCCTATCTATTGGCATGGCATCAAGTAGAAAGGTGACATCACTCATTAGCATCTCACTTGGACACTTGTGCAATGGGGGCTGTTGTATTCACTGATGTCAGTTTGGTTTGTGACCACCAGATGACCAGATCCATATGTCGCTTTTCTTCATGTGCCCTGCATTTTCAAACAGTTTGTTCAATAGTGCTTCAAAACTATTAGAAATGATCAAACTATAATACTTTTGTTGGCCTAACAACCGCTACAACACATTGTTTGTCTATTAATGTAAAAAAATATCTAATCAATAGTTTTCATTTACCTCCAAAAGCAATGCTCTATAAATTTTCAGTCATAATAAATAATTGCAAAATAAATATTAAAACTATAGAAGCATTTTTATTTTGCAAAATTTTCCACAATTCATTATTTTATGCCATCTGAATTTCCAATTGACAAGAACTGAATGACAGGCCCGATGACTTGCAGATTAGCAAAGTGGCTATTGCTTCAATTTAGTTACATGTTTAATTGTTTATTAACTTTTCCTTTATAACCTAAATGACTGCATTGAAATAAATAAATAAGATACAAAAAGAACGTGATCTTTTTTATAATTAAATATAATTTATTTGGAAACTTTGTGCATAGAACTTTACAAATTTTATCACTTTACAAAATAATTTTTTACAAAATCTGCTTTTTATTGCAATTGCGCCTCAGAATAAGTGGCCGTCTTTCATCGTTTTCAGTCCCTCTGAACATGAACTTTGATATATTGGCAAAACAATTCTCCTTGTTTTCTGCATTGTGTCGCTTCTTATGGGAAGATTTCTTCTGCCTGTTCAAAACCACTTTTACAAAACTTTCTTGTGCCTCAAGCTCTTTTAACACTTGCTTCCTTTCTCGCTTTTTTCCATCATTGTTTTTGTTCTCCCAAGCCTCTGGGGCCTTGGTGTTTTTAATGTCTTGCAGGCAAAGTCTTCCTTTTGGCTCCTTGTTCAAGTCTTTATTTTCACTGTTGGCTTGGTTAGATAAAGTACTCTTCTGTGACAATTCTTGCTTTTTACTTGCATTGCATTTATTTACTTTGGTTTTTCTTGATTTGTTGTTTTTTTTACTAGGACCGGCCTTTTTCGTAGTTTTATTTTTGCCTGGCTTGCTAACCCCAGGATTCACCTGCCTGGAAGGCTTTGATGAACGCACTACAACATTTGAAATATAAAAGATTTCATCTCAATTGAAATTTCTGGCATCGTTTAATATTTTACCCTTAGGTTTCTTCTTCAGGATTGATTTTAAAAAAGATAGTTTCAGCCTAACAGTCTCTTTAACTGTTGCCCTTTTAAGTTTCTATAATTATTAAAATGAATAGTTAGTATAAATAAGTAGTTAGTATGTATATTTTCATTAGTTACATAATTCATTTTTTAGTTTGAATGGTAACTTAGACCTTATTAATTTACGGTTTAACAGTTTAATATAATGATTTTGATACAAGTGAATAAATATATCTTGACTCACTTTGCTTTTTGTTTTACGAATAGCTATAATCGTAGGTTTTCTTTTAGGTTGCTGCGTACATTTCTTAACTGTTTCTTCTGTGTTCACTTCGACGGTTTGTTCTTTTATTCCTACAAGTTCCAAATTCAAACTTGAGAGTAGAACATTTCCCTGTGTTTCCTGAAAATGATTCATCATAATGACTAACATCACAAGTTGTAATAAATTTTTTTAAAAATTAATTAAATCATAAAAACTAACTTCATTCAACCAAAACGATTTTCCCAATGAGACCCACTCATTATAAATGCTCTGTGAGAGAATATCCTCAGCAGGCTCAGGCTGTTCTGATTTCTCTGCCTGAAAAACCAACACCACAAGATCACAATTATTTTCACAGGTGGACAATACCCACATAAGTTGCTTCATAGTTCTTGATAAAATGGAAATTACAATCGCCGATCCATTCTTTCACACAGTTGGGGCAATCTGGAAAACCAATAATAATCATTTACTATATTAACAAATTTCTTGCAGTAACATGAGTTAACAGAAAACTGACTATTCGTAAGGTACAGTTTCTGTTGCATATTTTTGCAAACTACAAGTTAACAATTATTTTAATAAGGGAAAATCAATTTAAAAAAACCCAGCTTCCAGTTTATAGAAAAGCGCTTTTCACTCCCCTGTGTCTGTACTTGCTAACCATGTCATAGCTACCCATCTGGCAGAAGTTTGTGTTCCTTCTGTACCTGCAGAACCCCAAAACTTCAAAATTAGTGCCATTTCTGATGTATTCCATTGCTGGTTTGTCACAGAGTTCTGTTGTGAGCTTTAGAAACTTCTAAAGGACTCATGATCTGAAGTTTGAAATGATTTGCATGTTACTAGAGCGTCGTACTGACCATCTTCTACTGAATAAGTTTGTTAATATGCGACAGACTGAGCTATTGACTCACTCAGGGAGAGAAGATTTGGAGAGTTACTTCCTCTTGTTCACTCTGTCTTTTACATGTAGAACAAGGGTGCAATTTAATTTCTTAATCTCTTTGATAATGTATCTATCTTCTAAGAAGAAGAGCAAAGAGCAAGATGACCTGCCCAGAGAGCAATTTTTAGTTATTGTATGGATTTAAAATGTACCAGGATGGAACTTGTTTGAAAATGTTGAGTAATATAACACACTATGCTTAGTAGGAGATATGGAATTTTCTGGAAACGAAGAAAACAGTAGGGATAGGTATAGGGATAAAAGAGGTGTCCACAAGACTCCCTCTGCCTGAGTAGATCTATTGTGCTCCCATACTCACTGGCTAGCTTCGGGCTGTTAATCACCTTGCAAGCGACTCCTTAGTGTAGAATATTGCTTGTGTCTTTTTGTTTTGTAGCTGCAAGAGTCTACACCTACATTGACCTTTAAAAAATAATAATCTTAAGCCCTCCCTTAAGACATGAATTACTTTACTTCGTGTACTCAAGACCATGTGTGCTTCTAGTTTTTACTCATAAAACTTTCATTCCTCTATCTGACTAGTAGAGCCTACTACTGTTCTGAAGCCAAACTGCCCAGCATTGGGATGTTTTCATGAGGACATTCATATTCTTACTGTATGTTATCGCTGAAAGATTAGCTAGGATTCAACATGAACATTATTTTGGACCAGTGGCTGCATTGAAATGATAATTTTATTGAAGATATTTGTTATCTAGAAGACGTGTAATTTATTATTCTCATATTGCCTTTGGACTTTTTATATTAATAAGAAACCCTTGATATACCTGAAAATATCCTAATAATTAGAAGACTGATTTTTCTATTTACAGTCCATGTTTTGCTTCTAACTTGTGACCGAATTGAAAATAAATATTGCTAGTCCAGCCGAAACATTATTAATGGTTCTATTTGCCTTAAAATCTACGACTTTATCGTCTTACCAGCGTCGAAAGGAAGCTCTAAGTTTTCCGATTGCATATTCGTTTTTTCCGTGTTAATTAAAAAAAGACTTCTTCAAAATGGACGTCAGACATGTGGTAAAATCCCTGATAAGTGGTAACAGCCAACAGGTGGCAGCGACCTGTTGACGTGTCAGCTCAATCTACATAAAACCTTTTAAGAGGGCGAACTACTGAAATAAGGAAAAACAGTATTTAAAAAAAAAATAAATGTTAGGTTTCATTAAACTTCAACCCTTCCCAAACATTTTGGTATAAACAAAATGAAAATCCCATCACCGAAAGAACGCTCAATAATTTCTTGACAAAGGAAATTCGGGCATTGGAGGCATAAAAACTAAAAATTAAAAACTACATTTCTTTCTTTTTTTTTAAATATACTTACTACTCTCTGCATACTAAAACACGTCATATGACAAGCTGTACAGTACAAACTTTGACACTAAATAATTGTTTTTTTATGAACTTCATTTGCCCAAAAGGCAATGGGGAATATTATACGTCAAGAGCTGGAAAAATGGTTTGAGAAAGAAAAACTCAAGCACCACAGGTATGAAGAGAGATAAATGTTTCAAAAATGAAATGTCCTACCTTTGTTGCCCTCCCGAAGTTTCTTAAGGTCTCTTTGATCGTCTGATGGGGTTAAGGGGTTGAATTATGTTGAAAAATGATTGGGCTAATGGGTTGGGGTGAGAGGAGAGTTATCGTAGAACCGGGAAAATTTGTTAGCGATTACTTTATATTCAGGGTATTTTGAGTGATATTATGGGAGGGGCATTGAAGAAAGTAGCTAGCTAAGTAGGTAGCTTTGGACTTCTACTTCTTAAAAGATGGATCGAGTCAAATGAACTGAACCAAGGAACTAGGAAAAGTACAGTGAGCCAAAAGCTGCAGTGTTTGGAGAATACCAAACTCCGCTTCGTAGGAGACCGAAGCGGCGAAGACTTCACTGCTTTTAGGTTTCTTAAGATGAACCTAATGGTTTCCATCACTGGATGGTTGATGATGATGGTAATGAAGATGAATATGGATACTAGGAGGTCTGGGTTTTTATTCCTAAGCACTGCCGCCTTCTGGCTTATTTTACTTTCCTAGTTCATTGATTCGGTGTAATCGGCTCGATCTCGCTCCTAAGTATTAGTCATTGACTCCAAAATTCACCACATCGTGAAGATGATGAAAGTGGACTAGGAAGTGCTGGTTTTCCCCCATGAAAGTTTCCCAAGCACTTCAGCCTTCTGGCTTATTGTACTTTCCTAGTTACTTAGTTCAGTCTGCAGATTCAATACTTTTTTTAAAGAGTAGTACGTCATTGACTATCACTATTACAATTCCTTTCCCTGTTTTTCCTTGTATCCCAGGTTATGATTCCATTAGGCTGTTACTTACGAAGGACATATAGGTGGCTGTTTCTACCTCTTCATTGCATAACCTCCAATGCATCGGACTTATTAACTCGTTGAATATACCCTTGTTATATAGATGTGTAGATGTACCAGTGAGTTTTGGTGATGGTTGTTTTATCATACGTTTACTGTGTCCAGCACCAGTTTAACCATTTCTCCTATTGTCTTTTTTGGATCTATTCTGTAATAGAAGATTTTGTGTTTGTTTTTGTTATCCCAAGAATAGGTTCGAGGCCTATATGTGGTCTTGTAGATGCTCCTCGGGCTGATCTGCTTTTCCATTACTTCAAATTCCTCTGTTTACTGGTATCATCAGGTTACTGTTTTTCCCAGGTTTTGGAAATTTTGGATAACTTCACTGACTTAATTTAATTTGATTTGATTTTTCTACGTGCTAATGCTTTAGCTGCTTAGTTATCCGATCTTTCGAGGATTTTCCTTGCAGGTCAAAGTCATGTTTGATTTCAGTCCTATAAGTCTTCGTAGTTGTCCAAATTGTCCGTTTTGTTTTTGTCGCTTGAGTCTTGTGTGAGGATTCTACGTCAGTCTACTGCCTAACAAGGCTACGCCAAGCTGGTGGGTCACGGATTTGGACCAAACTTGTTTGATGATTCTACACTCCAAAATATCGGACACGTATCCGCCACTTATTGTGAATAGACAAAACAAAATTTAAACCAATCAAAATTGGTCAAGCGGACCACGAAACTCGTGAATTGAATGGAACAAAATTTAAAGTTGAAATTTTATTATATTCACTAATTTCGTGGCCCGCTTGTCCAATTAAATCATTACAATTAATTAAGGTTTTTAGCTGAGATTAAAAAATGTTAATGGCACGAGAGGGATTCGAACCCACGACCCGATACGCCGCTGCTCTACCACCTGAGCTATCGTGACCTCGATCCGCTCGGACATCAACTCCCCATCTCAACCCCACCTTATGAGTTTTCCCTCCTTTTGCCATTTTTCAAATGTCGTGTAATCGGTTTGGATTCTCGACGACAATTGAAATGGCGATGGAGAGCTTTAGTGAAGTGTACTTCATTTTAATTCATTATATTCACTAATTTCGTGGCCCGCTTGACCAATTAAATCATTACAATTAATTAAGGTTTTTAGCTGAGATGAAAAAAAGTTAAAGGCACGAGAGGGATTCGAACCCACGACCTTCGGCTAGATTCGCCGCTCGTGTCACTAATTTTTTCATTTCAACCAACACCTTACATAAAGATTAATTAATTGAAAGAAGTTATTTGGGCAATCGGACCAGGAACGAAATTAGTGAATATAATGAATTAAAATGAAGTACACTTCACTAAAGCTCTCCGTCGCCATTTCAATTGTCGTCGAGAATCCAAACCGATTACACGACATTTGAAAAATGGCAAAAGGAGGGAAAACTCATAAGGTGGGGTTAAAATGGGGAGTTGATGTCCGGGCGGATCGAGGTCACGATAGCTCAGGTGGTAGAGCAGCGGCGTATCTAGCCGAAGGTCGTGGGTTCGAATCCCTCTCGTGCCATCAACTTTTTTTCATCTCAGCTAAAAACCTTAATTAATTGTTGAAATTTTATGTTTTTTAATATTTCTATTTCGTCGTTCTACTTGCTCAAGTCAACTATGTGAATATATAATTTTACAACATGTTGTAAATCTAATTTCAGTCGCAATTAAATGAGCATAAATTGTTATTTAGACATTTAATTTTTTTTGTATTTTTTAATTTTACTATTGGTTAAGATAAAAACAAAAATGTTCTCTCGTTTATTCTAATTTTTAAAAAGATAAATCAACAAAATACTGCCTTTTTGCATATTTTAATAAACAAGCAAAGTAGGCCAGAAAATGGTCAAAACTTGAATTTGACCTCATCTTCGTAATTCTAGCGTTATAAAACCCTCAGATACCGACGTTGGCGGAAATCGGGGTAAATTAATTTTTTGGCTGATAATTTCGACCATCTTTCTGCCTGATGATTCCTAGTGCAAGCTCTCAAAATTTTTCTCAAAAGCTAGACGACTGATTTTCATTGATTGATAATTCGTTTTAAAGAAATTGTCACGTGCATTTTACAACTATATCAAACATTAAAATTGGACTATTATTTCTATTTAAAAAAGCGAGGTTAATTTCTGACAAATAATTTTCCTATTTTGTGCATTTTCCTTTAGAAATATTTTATATATTTTTATAGTACATATATCGTTAAAAGTCTGCGTTTCTCTTCTTTCAAACGGTCTGTTTGACGTTGAAATCCTTTAAGCCGTTTTTGAATTATAGCCGTTTCAATCATATATTCCCGAGAACGACTTCTTAAAAAGTAAAAATTTTTAGGAGTCAAAAAATCGATAAATTTAAATCAAGACAAAAATTTATATTAAGGGTCCTCTAAAGGTGCTAAAATGAAATCTCATATTAGTTTCACTTTACTTGAAAATATTTGTTTTTTAGTAATTTTTTTGCTTATTCATAAACTTTGATAGCTTTTACTATGTTTTTATTGCATTGTGTATTAAAAAAGATGTAAAATGATATATTCATACAGTCAACTAGAACAGCGAAATAAAAATATTAAAAAATAGAAAATTGCAACAATTTGTAAAATAACCAAAAAAAAGTTTTATCTGTGACCACCAACCAGGTCGCCACCTCGTCAGACTCAAAGAGGCGAGGACAATTCAATGAGGCTAATAATTTTTCTCTCAGAGAACACAATCACTTGAAATTGAAGCTGTTGAGGTGAGGAGAAAATTTGGCCTTACCACTGATTTGTTTTTTAATACAAAATTATAACATTAAAGGCTGATATATTTATGAGTACGAAATCTATTTCTTGGCGATTGACCAAGGCTTTGAAATTTTAAATTGTAATTTATATCCTGGTTGTTTTTGATCAAACTAAAACATTGCACACATCATGTCTGCACAACAATGAAGATAAACATAGGAGATATTTGGTTTTTAGATTTTTTTATTATTGATAAACTTTGATAGCTTTTATTATATTTTATTGCAATATACATAAAAAATGCTGTAAAGTGAGATATCTACATAGTTGATTTGAGCAAGTAGAACGGCGAAATCAAAATGTTAAAAAACGGAAAATTTCATCTCTCAAAAAAAATTTGGTTAAACCAGGGCCTATTCACAAAAAGTGGCGGTTACGTGTACGATATTTTGGAGTAGAGAATCTCCAAAAAAAAGTTTGATCCAAATCCATGACCCACCAATCTGGCCGTCCCCTAGTCGTGTACCTGTCTGAAGTTACCAAGAGTGACTTATTTTTAGTTACCATTCCGAATAATTAGGTCGTAATTGGCAATTAATAAACTTGGAAGCTTAAATGCAACCAAGAGGCACATCAAATAGTTTTCCCGACTCAACGAAGCAGTTACAACTATGAAATCTTACAGGTTGAATTAATTTGCATCTCAAGAGTTATAATCATGCCCGTTGCCAGAAAAAGAGTCGAAAGCGGATATATCGAATCTTACGGATGCCCACCACCGTGAACCGAGATCACGCGGCCGCACTTATCAACGAATTAACCTTGGCACAATTTCTCGACTCTTTTTACGGAAAACTGGGCAACGAGCCCTCGGAGGAAATCGGAGATCGGCGAAAGACCAGGGACTAAACACGGGCCGGGACCAGGGAAAGTGGAGCGAAACCGTTTAAAATGGAAGCCGGCCAAAAATCAAGGGCGATTGACCTGATAAAATTTGCAAACACTGAGCAGTCCCATTTAAAATTGGCCGACTAATTAAAGCCTTATTGAAAACAAACTATCTTGAATGTATGCATTTTTTGCCAAATAAATGCTTATAATGATTAATAAATCATTAAAGGTCATTTTACGTCATGATTATGTTCAAAAGATTGAACGATATTGTTATTTTTATCCATGATTGGTTCCATTCATTTATCATTTCCAATTTTTTACCAATTTAGTCAATTGGGAGATTTTTTAAAAGTAACTGTTCAAAATTGTTGCTTTTTTAAAATTGAGATTTATTTTTATCCTTTGATTTAAAATTATATTTATCCTTTGATTTTATTTCAATTCAATTACTAAATCCTAAAGCATGTATTTGAATATAAGTATTATAAAAAATAAAGAGGGTTACAAAAAAAAAATAAATTTTTATTCAAGCAAGATTCAATTTATTACAATAAGTTAAAATTAGTTGTATAAAGATCTTATTTATATAAATAATAGAGAGAGACAACCTCTGCCTTCAGTGAGCTGAGCGACTGATTTTTAAATGATAATTGAACGTTGGACGTAATGACTCGCTACCAGTCGCCAGCGGCACGAAGCTAAGAGTGACAACAAAAATAAAACGCGATGACATGTCAAAAAATAAAATAAGGCGCCCACCACAGTTCGATTGAAATAAATATTTTTTGGCGCACTTTTGTTGTTGATGGTGGTGATGTATTCGGTGTGGATGGATTTGGCCGGCTTCTTAGAAGCATTTGCGGTGGACGATTCCGGGGCCGGATTCGTCGTATTCCTGCTTGGAGATCCACATCTGCTGGAAGGTGGAGAGGGAGGCGAGGATGGAGCCACCGATCCATACGGAGTATTTCCTTTCTGGGGGAGCGATGATCTTGATTTTGATGGTGGAAGGAGCGAGGGCGGTGATTTCCTTCTGCATCCTGTCGGCGATACCAGGGTACATGGTGGTACCTCCGGAGAGGACGGTGTTGGCGTACAAGTCTTTCCTGATATCGACGTCGCACTTCATGATGGAGTTGTAGACAGTTTCGTGGATACCGCAAGATTCCATACCCAAGAAGGAAGGTTGGAAGAGGGCTTCTGGGCAACGGAACCTCTCGTTACCGATGGTGATGACCTGACCGTCGGGAAGTTCATAGGACTTCTCGAGGGAGGTGGAGGCGGCGGCGGTGGCCATTTCCTGCTCGAAGTCGAGGGCGACATAGCAAAGTTTTTCCTTGATGTCACGGACGATTTCCCTCTCAGCGGTGGTTGTGAAAGAGTAACCACGCTCGGTGAGGATTTTCATCAGGTAGTCAGTCAAGTCACGGCCGGCGAGGTCGAGACGGAGGATGGCGTGGGGAAGGGCATAACCTGCGGGCAGACAGAAAAAAAATTATCGAAAAGTCCTCAACGACTCAAACGCCGAGTTTTCCAGAAGAAAACGAACCTTCATAGATGGGGACGGTGTGGGAGACACCATCTCCGGAGTCGAGGACGATACCGGTGGTACGACCAGAGGCGTACAGGGAGAGGACAGCCTGGATGGCGACGTACATGGCCGGGGTGTTGAAGGTCTCAAACATGATCTGGGTCATCTTTTCCCTGTTGGCCTTAGGGTTCAATGGGGCTTCGGTGAGGAGGATGGGGTGTTCCTCAGGGGCGACTCTCAGTTCGTTGTAGAAGGTGTGGTGCCAGATCTTTTCCATATCATCCCAGTTGGTGATGATACCGTGTTCGATGGGGTATTTGAGGGTGAGGATACCTCTCTTGCTTTGGGCCTCATCTCCTACATAGCTGTCCTTTTGACCCATACCGACCATCACACCCTGCAGAAAGCATTGTCTTTTAGTTAAGTCCCGTGAAAAAAATCACAACGCGCGTCTCCCGGACAAACGTCAAGCATCACGCTCTCAAGAAATCAACACAATCGAGCAATTAGTCCAATTCGAAGTCTTAATCTAAGAAAAAGAGCCCGAATTGACAAACACGTGGTCTTATTAATTAGTAGAAGGCTATTTCGGACCCGGACTATTTTTGTACCGCCCCCCGCTCAGCGCGCCTTATACGGCCCTCTACGCGTGGAGGGACAGCCTGGGGGTTAAAAATAGGATGCGCCCTTTTTTGGGCACGTCATTTTCCGACTTCGTCCCTTTAATTTCAAGACAATTTACTACGTAAGAAAATTTCATTTTTATATAAAACTGAATTTTTTTAAGGGGAAGTAAAACGGTTTTAACAAAAATATACCAAATTATAAATTTTTTAACAATTTGAATTAGAACGATGAATTATCGGAATTTTTGTTTTACGTTTTAAAAGTAAGCCCACTACGGTTTTTATTTTACTTTATTCGTTTTTTTATATTCAATATTTTGCGATAAAACTTTTATTGTATCATTCTATTTTGAAACGAGAGAAATTACAAATCCACGAGTCTATGTTGTCATCTACTTCAAGTTTTATCCAAGCTCTAATCAAAAGATTATCACAATTTTTCTTTTAAAGAACCATTTTATAAAATTGAATGACTATGTCTTTTTCCATTTTAAGGGCACCCGAACCTTTTTTTTTAATATTGAGTGTACCAAATTTTCATAGTAGAAAGGTTATTACTATTGAAGAGGCTACATAGTGAAGAATTGTTAGTGAAGAATTTCCCTCAAGTGTTATCCAAGTTCGAAACAAATAAAATTTTAAGATAATTAGGCCAATAACAGATGGAGAAATCTTTTTTAATTTTTTCCAAAAATCTATTGTAGTATGACTGTTTTCTCTTTATTTTCTTTTAAGTTGTTACATTTTTTGTGTCTGTTGGTAAGTCAGTCGGATTTGAGTCAGAATTGAATTTGTCCAGTCGTTATTTACCTGATGTCTTGGGCGACCGACGATGCTGGGGAAGACAGCCCTTGGGGCGTCATCTCCAGCGAAGCCGGCTTTGCACATTCCGGAGCCGTTGTCAACGACCAACGCCGCAACATCATCGTCACACATCTTGCTGTACTTTGTTGGGGTGTCTCTCGGTGAAGAAGAACTGTGGAGTGCTCGAAGCTTGGATGGCGAGTGAACAAGGATGCCGCCCCTGGGTGCTTTATCTACCCGGGGCCCCCTCCTAACCGGCCCCCACCAATCGCCACCTCAGCCTCCCCTTATTTGGACAACCCTCCGCCCCTTCCACGCACCCTCTGAGGGCCCTTCGACAATTGGCCCGTTTTGGAAAATTCGCCTCTACTATCACTCTCCGTACTCAAAAACCATAGGAGATTTAATCAAAATCGATATATTTATCCAATAGGCCTGAGAGTTACTGACAGCAGCTAATATTCATTTACCAATTATACATTTTTGGCATGTCACTCAGACAATTTGAATCTTTATATAGTCAATTGTTAATCGTTACACATAATCGCTGTTAAGTCTATCGTAGTTATTTTTAATTTTACCCTGACCAGTTAAAACCTCGTTTTTTTAAGATCAGTTTATCTTTTCCATTCAATTATTTTTTTCGTACTGGGGTACTGGTTTTTTTTTCTCCAAAGAACCCGCTAGTCATTTAGCTATATCATTTGGTTTTGCCATGACAGTCGTGAATTAGGGACTGTTCGAAGATATAATGATTTTTTGCCTGTCCTTAATCTATGGAGTCCGGTGTCATTTACAAGAAAATTTAGACTGCCAAATAATTACAAAACTAGTAGGACATTGAGTATTGTCACAAATAAATAGTTCAAAAAACCATGGGGAAGTTTTCCATTGATTGACGGATTTCTCCAAAGAAAGTGTTTTTTTTTTTTTTTGTAACCAAATCATTTTTTAGCATGACAGTCGTAAATTAGGACTCTGCAAAGACAATGGCATACATTTTTGCCTTGGTACTCGTTATTTTAAGGATTCCTGGGTCAATTACATAATTTAAAAACATCAGAGATAATTTACATAAATATACTTTATATTGTTGGTCTCAGATACTCGAAAAAAAAACGGGAGATAGTTTTTTTTTTTATCAAGGGGTAGATTTCTATAAAGAACACGATAGACCATTACTAGATCATTTATGTTTGGTATGATAGTCGTAAATTAGGGACTCTTCAAAGATAATGGCATAATTGTTTGCCTTGGTCCTGTAAATTAATGATCCTGAATTATTTACATAATTTAAAAACGTCCAACATAATTGATATAAATATAAAACTGGCAGATCATTGTTGGTCGCAAATACTCGAAAAACAAACGGGAATTGTTTTATCAAATGGTCGATTTCTCCAAAGAACCAGATAAATACATTGCTAGATCAATTATTTTTGAGATGATAGCCGCAAATTAGGGACTTTTCAAAGGTAATATCGTAATTATTTGCCTTGGTACTCGTTAATTTATGGGGTTCAATGTCGTACAAAATTTAAGAACTTCCAAGGAAATTTAGTCTGCCAAATAATTACAAAACTAGTAGGACATTGAATATTGTCAGACATAAATAGTTCAAAAAACCATCGGAAATTTTTCTATCGATTAACGGATTTCTCCAAAGAAAGTGATAGTTTTTTTTAGCTAGATCATTTTTTGACATGGCAGTCGTAAATTAGTGACACTTCAAAGATAATGGTATACATTTTTACCTTGGCACTTTTTGATTTAAGGATTCCTGGGCCGTTTACATAATTTAAAAATATCCAACATAATTTAGACAAATATAAAAAAGGTAAGACGCTGATTGTCGCAAATAGCTCGAAAAACAAATGGGAATTGTTGTGCAATTGGTCGATTTCTCTAAAGAACCCGATAGTTACATTGCTAGATCATGTATTTTTGGTATGACAGTCGTAAATTAGGGATTTTTTAAAGGTAATAATTATTTGTCTTGGTCCCGCTAATTTAACCATTTACATAATTTAAGAACTTACAAGAACATTTAGTGTGCGAAATAAATACAAAACTATACAAATCTATTTTTCTAAACAATTTGATAAATTTTTTAACTAGTTCATGTTTTTTGCATGACAGTCGTAAATTAGGAACTCTTCTAAGATAAAGGCGTACATTTTTGCCTTGTTACTCGTTAATTTAAGGACTCCTGGATTGCTTATGTAATGTCATAATTTTTTGCCTTGGTACCTGTTAATTTAACTATTCCTGTGTCATTTACGTTAAGAACTTCCAAGAAAATTTCGTCTGCTAAATAAATACAAAACTAGTAGGACACTAAATATTGTCACAAATAAATAGTTTGAAAAACCATCGGGAATTTTTCTATCGATTGACGGATTTCTCCACAAAACTTGACACTCGTTTTAGCTAGTTCATTTTTTTGGCATGCCAGTCGTAAATTAAGGACTCTTCAATGATAATGGCATAATTATTTGCCTTGGTCCCCTTAATTTAATTATTCCTGTGTCATTTACATAATTTAAGGAAATTCAAAGAAAATTCAGTCTGCTAAATAAATACAAAACCGTTCGGACACTGATTCTCGCAAATAACTAATTTGAAAAATCATCGGGCATTGTTTCATCAAATGACCGACTTCTCTAAAGAACCTGTTAATTTATTTTTGACATGACAGTCGAAAGTAGGGGACTTTTCAAAAATAATGTTATAATTAATAAATTATAATAATTATTAATATAATAAAATAATAATAATTTTTTCAGTCCGACTTAACAAAAATCAGGGAAGATAGACCAAGATGATACGTAACTATAAAAAATATGTTTTTCATCCCGCAAACCACACGAGAAACTCCTACAATTGTTGGATGTTGTATTATCTTTGAAAAGTCTCTAATTTACGACTCATGACAAAAATAAATGATCTAGCTAAGTACGTGTCTAAGCTAAGTAGATGAATATATTCCCGGTGGTTTTTCAAACTATTTATTTGTGACAGTATTCATTATGCTGCCAGTTTTGTTTTTATTTAACAGACTAAATATTTTTGAAGTTCTTAAATTAATAGAAACCAAAAAGGTGGGATGAGTATGTCGATTCACATTTTATAAATAATGGTTCCACTCCCAAAATTTAATGTTTACAAAAATGAAACAAATTCTGTGAGTAAAACCATCATTTACGAAAGTTCTTAAATTATGTATACGACACACGAATTTTCAAATTAACCACTACTAAGGCCAAAAATATGATATTATCTTAGAAACGTACATACTTTACGACCTTGGCTTACCAAAAATAAATTATCTAAGTACGAACGTATTATATCCCTTTGGAGAAATCCGTCAATCGATGAAATGATTCCCGAAGATCCTTGGAGCTATTTAAAAAAATCAGTGTCCTACCAATTTAAAAAAAAAATTATTTAGCAGGCTGAATATTTTGTTCTTATATTTTGTGAATAACACAGGACTTCTTCACTTTGGTAGTGTTAAAAGCATTTATATGCACTAATTTTTTTTTTGCTAGTAGTACTAACCTATAAATACATATCTTTTATGTATAATCTATCTACAAAAAGCCTATAAAAATAGCTGAAAAGTTCAATACTTATTTTATAGTATAAATACTTAGTAAATAAATACAAGATAGGAAGGACCTCATTTCAAGTTTGTCATCCCACAGATACGGAGAAATCTCAAAATTTATTTCTCATCTAAAGTACCCAAAGTACTGGAAGTGCATTATAAAAACGTGCACCGACAAATACACGTCCTTTATAGATAATCTATCTCTGAAAATCTGTTTACCAGTTAGAAAAACAATTGCCTATAAAAATAGCTGAAAAGTTCAAGAATTATTTTATAGTAAAAGTATACAGGGTGTAAAAGTGCGCTAGCAGGTTTTTCCATATTTTTTGAACGGATGCGAAAAGTGACAAATGGAAACCCACCTTACATTTTTCCATACATTCCAAAACAGTTGTCAATTTCTTTTCGATGAGTATCGTCGACGTTGACGCCATTTTTTTAATTTCAAATGTGAACTTCAATTTTATAATTTTTTTCTGAGAAGAATGAGTAGCACAACTTTACAACACGATTTTTTGAAAATATTAAGAAATTGTTATTAAAAATATGATATATTATAATAAAATTATATTTAAAATATTACAAAAAAAATTATCATGTTAGTTGTTTAAATAAATGTTAGGGAGTTTTTGTACCCTGATTGGACTAAGCAATTTCACTTTGTTTATTTTTTATTTTATTTTATTTTTTTAAATATTTTTTATTATTATTTTTTTTTATAACGAGGGTTCGCAAATTTAAACTATTTTACCTACAAGAGACTCAAATGTCAAATTCAGCATATATGAACATATTTATTTAATGCAATATCTGTAGTTGTAAATATAAAAAAAATCTAATAAAAAAAGTTTTACCTACAGCAAGTACACAATTATACATTGTCTTTATTTTTATATAAAGCTTGTAGATAATTTCATACTTCATTATTTTTTATTTTGAGATTTGCTAATATTTTTTATTCTGATACTCCTTATACATAAATCATGCAAGGCTAACTTTTTCACTTCTTTATCATTGTTATTATATTTTTTCAAGTTACTGTAATCATTTAATTTTTTCAAATAGTTTTTTTTTTGAGAAATTATTAGCTGTAAAAGATTTTATTAAATTGTTTATGTTATTGCGATGAAATCAAATATCGCTGATTTCTAAATGTTTATAACGATATAGTGCTCGTACGACAAAGTTCATCAGGTCTTCTGCATCTCAAATGCACATCAAAAATTCGTATGAACCATGGTCCAATCTCAACCCTTTCGTAGATATTCAACTTTTTTTGTGTTTTTTTTTTTTCAACTATTTACGATTTTCGTCACAAATCTCCTCGTATCTCTTGATTTTGAGTTTCGTATCTCTTGAAGTATTAATTTTTGGAGAAATAAAAAAAAAAGCATTGAAACCAGAAAATTTCCTTTAAGAAGGCACCGTTCTAGAACTTTCAATTTAATTATTGGTAAAAAACTAACACTAAAGTTTCAAAAACCGCTAGATTAAAAATGATATAACAAAACTAAATTTGCAAGTAAATGGAAAAATTCACTGTAGAGCCTGGAAAATTTCTATTTTTTATTTTAAAAAAAAGTTGAATTTTTTTAATGCTTTTCTATTTTTTTAATGACAACTTTCACCTCACAAAAAATCATATAAAAAATCAACTTAAAAATCAAACATATCACTAAAAGAGGG